TGACAGGAGGAAAGCTGGAAAATTCACAAATACATAAAAATTAAACAAGCCAGGCTGGCATGGCTCAGTGGTTGAGCATTGATCTATGAACCAGGAAGTCACAGTTCGATTCCAGTCAGGACAGATGCCAGGATATTGGCTCAATCCCCAGTCGGGGGCCTGCAGAAAGCAGCCAATCAATGATTCTCATCATTGATGTTTCTCTCTCTCCCTCTGAAATCAATAAAAATATATTTTTAAGAAAGTATACCATAACTTTCTTAAAAATATTTTTTTATCCTGAATAACCAATGCCTAAAGAAATCAAAAGAAAATTTTAAAAATTTCTCAAGACAAATGAAAATGGAAACATAATACACCAAAACTTAGGGTATGTAGCAAAAGCAGTTCTAAAAGGAAATAAAGTGAAGATCTCAAATAAAGAACCTAACTTTATACCTCAAGGAACTAGAAAAAGAAGAACAAATTAAGCTCATATTTAGCCAGAAAAAAAAAAAGAAAATAAAAAGCAATATACAAGATTCAATGCAATCCCTATCTAAATTCCAATGGCACTTTTCACAGCAACAGAACAATCCTAAAATGTGTATAGAAACCCAAAAGACACCAAATAGTCAAACCAATCTTAAGAAAGAACAAAGCAGGAGACATCACATTTCCTGATGTTAAACTATATTACAAAGCTATAGTAATCAAAACAGTATGATAATGACATAAAAACAGAGACAAAAATCAATGGAATAGAATAGAAAACCCAGAAATAAAACCATACATATTTGGTCTATTATTCTATAACAAAGAAGCTAAGACTATACAGTGGACAAAAGAGAGTCTCTTCAAAAAATGTTGCTGGGAAACTGAGCAGTGCAGAAAAAAGAAAAAGAAAAAAAAAGAATGATCAGGACACTGAAAAAAGAGATAGAGAAAGACATAAACAGATGGAAGAACATACCATGTTTATGGATTGGTAGAATTAACATCATTAAAATGTCCATACTTCCCAAAGCAATCTATAGATTCAATTCACTCCCCATTAAAATACCAATGGCATATTTCAGAGACCTAGAATGAACTCTCCAAAAATTCATCTGGAATAAAAAAAGACCCCAAATAGCTGCAGCAATCCTGAGAAAGAAGAAAAAAGTAGGAGGGATCTCAATGCCAGATATCAAGCTGTATTACAAAGCCACTGTTCTCAAAACTCCCTGGTACAAGGTCAAGATCAGACATATAGACCAATGGAATAGAATAGAGAATCCAGATATCGACCCAAACCACTGTGCTCAATTAATATTTGACAGAGGAGACATGAACATATTATACAATGGAGTCAAAACAGTCTCTTCAACAAATGGTGTTGGGAAAATTGGACATGCAAAAAATGAAACTAGACCACCAACTTACACCATACACAAAAATAAACTCAAAATGGATAAAGGACTTAAACATAAGACAGAAAACCATAAAAATCTTAAGAAGAATCCACAAACAGCAAAATCACAAACATATGCCAAAGCAATTTCTTTACCAATACAGCGCCTAGGGCAATGGAAACTAAAGAGAAAATAAACAAATGAGACTACTATTTCTAGTACTATTTTGCTACTTAATGGCAAAATAGTACTAGAAAGCTTCTGCACAGCAAAAGAAACATCAACAAAACAACAAGAAAGCCTACTGCCTGGGAGAACACATTTGCCAATGTTATCTCCAATAAGGTAATCTCCAACATTTACAGGGAACTCATACAACGTAACAAAAGGAAGATAAACACCCAATCAAAAGATGGGCAACTTATCTAAATAGACACTTTTCAAAAGAGGACATACAGAAGGCCAAGAGACATATGAAAACATGCTCAAAGTCACTACTAATCATCTGAGAGATGCAAATCAAAACAACAATGAGGTACCATCACACCTATCAGAATGGTTATCATCAGCAAATCAACAAAACACAAGTGCTGGCTGGTGAGGATGCGGAGAAAAGGGAACCCTCGTGCACTGCTGATGGGAATGCAGCCACTGTGGAGAACAGAATGGAGTTTCCTCAAAAAACTGAAAATGGAGCTCCCATTTGACCCAGTGATCCCACTTCTAGGAATATATCCCAAGAAATTAGAAACACCAATCAGAAAGGATATATGCACCCCCATGTTCATAGCAGAACAACTTACAATAGCTAAGATTTGGAAACAGCCTAAGTGCCCATCAGCAGATGAGTGGATTAAAAAACTGTGGCACATCTACACACTGGAATACTAAGCTGCAGTAAAAAATAAGGTATTCTTACCATTTGCAGCAGCATGGATGGACCTGGAGAGCATCATGCTAAGCGAAATAAGCCAGTCAGAGAAAGATAAATATCACATGATCTCACTCATTTGTGGAATATAATGAGCAACATAAACTGATGAACAAAAACAGACCCGGAGCCAGGGGAGCATCGATCAGACTGTCAGACCTCAGAGGGAAGATGGGGGAGGGTGGGGATAAGGGGGAGAGATCAACCAAAGGACTTGTGCGCATGCACATAAACCCAACCAATGGACACAGACACCAGGGGGGTGAGGGCAGGAGTGGGGGGCGGGCAATGGGGGGATAAGGACACATATGTAATACCTTAATCAATAAAGAAAACAATAAAAATAAAGATATACAATAAAAAAAGAAAGAAAAATAATGAGACTGGGTCCCTATCTTCCACCCTACACAAAAATTAACTCAAAATGAATTAAAGACGTAAACATACGACCTGAAGCCAAAAAACTCCTAGAAGAAAGCACAAGCAGGAAGTTCTCAGACACGGGTTTTGGCAATTACTTCGGGATCTGACACCAAAAGCAAAGGCAACAAAGCAAAACTAAACAAGTGGGACTACATCAAACTAAAAAGCTTCTGCACAGCAAAAGAAACCATCAACAAAATGACAACCTAAAGAAGGAGAGGAAAGCCAAAGCCGTTTGGCTCAGCGGTAGAGCGTCGGTCTGCGGACTGAAAGGTCCCGGGTTCGATTCCGGTCAAGGGCATGTATGTTGGTTGCGGGCACAGCTCCAGTAGGGGGTGTGCAGGAGGCAGCTGGCCGATGTTTCTGGCTATCTCTCTTCCTTCCTCTCTGTAAAAAAAATCAATAAAATATATTAAAAATAATAATAATGAGAGAAAATATTGCAAGTCTCATCTGTTGAGGAGCTAATGTCCAAAGTACATAAGAAACCCATACATCTTAACAGCAAAAGAAAAAAAAAAATCCCATTTAAAAAACGGGCAAAAGACCTAAATATTCACTTATGCAAAGAAGATCCTCAAACGATGGGTGTTTAACATCACTAATCCACAGGGAAAGCAAATCAAAACCATAATGAGTACCACCTCACATCGGTTACAATGGCTGCTATCAAAGAGAGAAGGGCCTTGGCAAGGATATAGATACGAGCTGAGACGGACGTGCAGGGCCGGCCCCGGCTGCAATCCGTCCAGCAGCTGCACCGAAGGAGTCACTGACAGCCACCCAACCCCGAAGGGTCCAAGCAGGAGTGGGGCCCCTTCTGACGCTGGCTGCCATCGCCCTGGGCTCTGGCCTGGCCGGAGGGAACGAGGCGGCCGCGAGGGCAGAGGCCCAAGGCCGGCTTCCTGGGCGGCTCTCCGACCCAAACTCTCAAGAAAGGGCCCGACTCCTGGGCCGAGGCCCAGCCTCGAACATGGCCCAATCTTCTGGAACCAGATCCCCCCACCCCGCCTCCTCTTCCTTTCCTCCTCTGTCTCCACATCTGCGGTCATTTTCACAAGTATTCACTGGGCACAGCCTGCCTAGCCAGCCAGGAGCTAGGCACCACAGGAGAACTGAATCATTCAACCAACACACACCGTTCCAGACAGTGATCTGGGCCTGAAACAGAACCAATCAGTTCCTGACCCGAAGAGTGAACACAACCCGCCTGCCCCCTAACAGATACTACCAGAATGTGCCGGAGCTGTACACAGAACATAAATGAACCTCGAAAACATTGCAAGTGAAAAACAGTCACACAAAAAACACACGCACACTGTATGATTCCGTTCAGATGAAATGTCCAGAACAGGCAAATCCACAGAGAGAAAGCAGACCTGTGGTTGTGGCAGGCTGGGGCCGTGGCTGCTGATGGAACCAGGGTTTGGGGGAAGGGATGAGATTTTTCTGAAATTCATTGTAGTGAGGGCTGCACAACTCTGAATGTGTTGTAAACCACTGAATTGTATACAAGCGGGCAAATTACATAGTCCTAGCAGCCCTGCAGACGAATCCGGGCGCCAGCAGGGGGCTGTCCTGCCCTCCCGTGGCTCCCTCGCTCGCCCGCTCACAGCTGGCTGCCCTGCCCCCTCCCGTCGCTCTCCGCCTCCCGCCTGTGGTTGGATAACCCACCCTCTGGCAGATCATGGTCTGGTCATTAAGTGGCGGATGGTCATGCCCCCTGGTAATTAGCATACCCCTCTCTTATATAGGATGTGAATTACACCTCAATAAAGTTGATAGTTTTTTTAAGAACTCCACCCTGATGAATTGGGAGGAGAGGGGAACAAGAACAAAATATTTAAGTAACCAAACATAACAAACTCTCAGCACTTTGGGGGAAAGTAAAGCAGGGAGGCAGCACAAGGATGGCTTCTGAAATGGTTACAGGAGGCAGCCAGGTGGCCTCACTCGGGGATGCAGACCTGAAGGGCCCAGAGCGGGCAGCAGGCAGCTACCAGGGGGAAGTGCTCCGGGGAGTGCTAGGCTCCCGGGGCCTGGCCGACAGGGGCCAGCTGAAAGCCATAAGCTCTAAGTGCCTCCGAGAAAGGGCGGCCCCGGGCATGACGGACAAGAACTCCGGGTGTGGTGGGGTTGTGTCTGGAGCTACCCACACCAATTCAGGGTCCAGTCCGTGCAGGGTCCACGGCCGTTCTAAAAACATTTGTTTTGGAATCCACGAGTCTGCCCCATACTGCCTCCAGCCCTCCTGGCCCCCGCGGCCCCCATACCTTTCCAGGTCAGTTTGATGTTCCACTCGTAGAAGAAAATCAGCTTCCCTTTGCGGCTGCTGCAGGAAGCCTCGCCTTCCACCTGCTTCAGGTCACTGATCTGGCAGCGACCGGCCTCGTTCTCCACCACGATGCCCACCAGGGACTCTCGCAGCTTCCCCTTGGACCAGCTGGTGGCGTCCCGCTCGGTCCTGTGGGGGGGGGGGGGGTGAGAACAGAAGGGCGGAGCCGTGAGTGGGGCCCAGGTGTGTCACCTGCCCAGCCCAGATCAGCCTGCCTCCCCTCGGGGCCTGCAAAGAACTGCCCTCCTCAAACCAGCTTTCTACCAAATAGCGTTTAACCCTCCTGCTCGGTGTCTTCAGCAGCATTAACCACCATCTAAATAAGTATTTTGTCTTGAAAAACACCAGTTTATTTGGGGGGGGTGGGGGGGGTGGGGTCTAGCAATCTGACCAGTTGGAAATGGATGGGCAAAGTCGGGACCATATGAAAAGGTGGCAATAATTCAAGTAATCACAGCAAGACAAAGTATCGGGTGTGTTCACACCTATTATTTTATGCAACCACCCCAAATAATGTTCCCATTGTGGGGAGCAGAAATGAGCCCAGAGAAGTCCATGATGTGTCCATGGTGGCAAGGCTAGGAAAGGAGAGAGGTCAGCGCCTCCAAGCCCCAGGCCAGCGCTGCCCAGTAAGCCACCCCTTCACAGGCCAGGGCCCTCCAGTAAGCCACGCCGGGCTTGGCTGGCCCAGGACCTGCCTCAGCATCACCTGGTGGCCCTGGGGTACCACAGGCCTGGGCGGGGCGGGAGAGAGGCGATGATGGGGGGGGGGGGGGGGGGCAGGAGAGCCAGTGCTCCAGATGAGGCACAAAAAGGATGGTAACCTGCAGAAACCGGTTTGGCTCAGTGGATAGAGCGTCGGTCTGCAGACTGAGGGTTACCGGGTTCGATTCCGGTCAGGGGCGTGTACATTGGTTGCGGGCATATCCCTGGTGGGGGGAGTGCAGGAGGCAGCTGGTCGATGTTTCTCTCTCATCGACATTTCTGGCTCTCTATCCCTCTTCCTTCCTCTCTGTGGAAAATCAATAAAATATATTAAAAAAAAAAAAAAAAAAAAGATGGCAACTTGTTCGAACCCCACGGCAGGGCTCAACCGAGGCCCATCAGGTTAGAAGCCAAGTTAGATCCAGATTCCTGCTCTTTCCGACACGCGCGAACCAGAGCGCAGACCACGCTCCGCCCACACGCCGTCGCGCTTCACTTTCTCAAACAGCGGGCGATGGGGGGGCGGGGGCAGAACTGGGTTCGGGGGCGGGCCGTCACAGCGGGAGAGGGCAGCCCCAGCCGCTCTCCGGGCCCAAACCCTCGTCCAGAAGGGGGACTCCAGCCCCAGGGCAGCGGCCACCGAGGGGCCGCCCTTACAGCGGAGGGAGGGAGGGAGGGAGGGAGGGCACCCTGCACCTGTGCAAGCCCCGCCCCTCGGAGGGGCCCCGGGCCTGGAGGGGCCCCGCAACCCTCCCCCCCGCCCCCCGCCCCCCGCCCCTGGGCACAGGGAGCCCAGCGCAGAGGGGCCCCGCCGCGCCGCCCGCTCCCGAGGAGGCCCGGCCCCGCCGCCGGCCCCGCCCGCCGCACCAGTGCCAGTTGTTCACGTTGGTGCCATCCTCCCGCTCCTCCACGATCCAGCGCGGGTCGCCCTGGCCCCACTTGGCCATGTCTGCGGGCGGCGCGCCCCGGGGGTACCCGGCAGGCCCGCGGCGTCGGCGGGGGCGGGGCCGGGGCTGCGGCGGCGGCGTTTCCGGCCGGCGAGCCCGGGGCTGCGTCCGCAGCCCGGAAAGGCCGGAGCCCCGCCCCCGCGCCGCCCCGCCTACCGCCCGCGCCCTCCCGCCCGCGCCCTCCCGCCCGCCGCCCCGCACAGCCCGGCGCGCCGCCCGCACTTCCCACGCCGCCCCGCCCACCGCTCACCGCCCCACGACGCCCGCCCACCGCCCCACGACGCCCTGCCCACCGCCCCGAGCAGCGCCGCCCACCGCCCGGAGCAGCGCGCCCTGTGCTCCGAGCTCCGGCCACGGGCCTGCGGGCCGGCCGGGTCTGGGGCGGCGGTGCCCGGCGGGCTCGGGGAGCGGAGGGGCCTAGAGGCCGGGAGTGGGGCCCCGGAGAGGTCGGGGGCGGAGGGAGGGAGGAAAAGGGGGATGGCGGGGTCCGAGTGGAGGGCAGTGTAAGGAGGTGCCGATGGGGTGGGGAGATGTGCCGGTACCGGGGGCTTTGGGGCGGTCCTGCGGGCTCGGGGCGGAGGGTTGGGAAGGCCCAGACCCTCCCTCCGGGGCTGGGATGGCCGCAATGGTTGGCTCCGGCCTGGAGGCGGCGGCGAGGGGCGGCCGGGCTGGCCGGGCGCACACCGGAAGCGGCTGCGGGCGGCCGCGCTCCTGCGGTCACTGAAGCCCCGGCCGCCGTTCGCTCTGCGTCCGCCTCCGGGCGCGGGGCGCGGGGCGCCTGCTCTGGACACGCCCGGGTTTGTCTGCAGCTCCTGCGGGTGGCGTTCCAGCTTCTCCCAGGCCTTTGCCCCCTGAGCGGAGAACGCCACGTTCCCCTTTTCTTCCGGGATGTTTGCCTGTTGTTCAGGTCATCATCTTCGATGGCAGAAGGACGTGACTGCAAGCGCATGTTTCAGCTTGCAGCAGTTTTACACCAATTAAGTGAATATTGATTCCTTAGCAAAAACTTTGCACCAGTTATCTGCGAGATGTTACTAACGGGTCTGTGGACGTGTAGTGTGGGGAGCGGATCTGACAATCGGGTGGGAGTGGCTGGCTGTCCTGCTTGCTCCCGGGGCGGGGTCTGTGCTCATCAAGGAGATAAACTAACTGGCGGAGAACATTTTTTCGCCTTTACTTAGCTGGAGCTACCGCATTCCAATATCAGTTTCAAAAAAACCCAAAACAATAGTGATATAAACAAAATGCTTTCAAAGTGTTTTAGCCCCAAAACAAAATGACATTTTGATTTCACCTTTTTAACTTGACCTCACCAAAGACATGGACAGGTAACGCACGGTGTCAAGTAGAAAGGAATGTCATGGCAATGCCCGGGGGCACGGCTTTCTTATGCATTAGCTGTGCAACTTTTATCCGACTCGTAAAGTATTATTAATGATAGAACGTGAGATAGTAAGATGTAGGTGTGGATATTAGAACCTGGGGGGAGGGGAGGAATAAAACAACAGAAAACCTACAAAGGCAGAAGCTATAATCACTAAAAGTGTATGCGGACAAAAAAATTTTTTTTGCAATATTTATATAAAAAGAACTGTCCCAGCCCTAACCTCAGTGGATAGAGCATCGGCCTGCCGACTGAAGGATCCCAGATTGGATTCCAGTCAAGGGCATGTACTTTGGTACCTTAGTCGTGGACACATTCCCAGAAGGGGCGTGCAGGAGGCAGCTCATCAATGTTTCTAACTCTCTCCCTTCCTCTCTGTAAAAAAAAAATCATATATATATATATATATATATATATTTAAAGGATTACCCCAATGGAAACAATTATATTAAAATGTAAATGGAAAAGGCATTCTATGTAGTAGTTGGTTAAGAATTAAATTGGCCTGCCCAGCAAGAGTGGCACAGCGGGGTTGGTCATTGTCCTGTTTGAGTCCCAGTCTGGGCACATATGGAAGGCAACTGATTTCCTCACATCAATATTTCTTTCTCCCTCTCTCTAAGCATGCCCTTGGGTATTTTAAAAAATACTACTAATAAACCTATAAAAAATTTATTTCTCTCTCACTAATGGTTTAAGACCAGTATGGAAGCCTGATGTGTTGGGATCCCAAACTACATATACCATTTCTGAGATGCTGCCTTCATCTGTTCTTCAAAGATGGCTCACACCCACTTCCTATTCTTACCTGCAGGAAGACGGAAGGATAAAAGGGCATGCTTTTCTCCATTTACAGGCGAGACTCAAAAATTGCAGACACTATTCCGCCATGACTTCCCACACTCACCCCTAAACAAGGCTCACCCAAGGTCTGGCCTGCCTGCGTCTCCAGCCCCTCATCTTGAGTTGCTCCACTGGCTGCACCGGCACAGCAGCCACACTCCGGTGCTCTCCACCCCATCTGCGCTGTGCACTTCCAGGACCCTGCCTGGCGGGCTCTTTCCACCCTCATCCCCTTCACCCAGACTCTGCACCAATGTTTTTCCTCTGCAAAACCCTTCCTGGTGTCTCCTTCACTTCTCAGTCACACCCCCCTCTGCCAGTGCATTATTATGTCGAGTATTATATCTACCATATCGTGCATTTTTAAAAATATATATTTTATTGACTTTGTACAGAGACGAAGGGAGAGAGATAGAGAGAAACATCGATGAGAAGAGTCATCGATCAGCTGCCTCTTGCACACTCCCTACTGAGGATGTGCCTGCAACCAAGACCGGAATCGAACCCGGGACCCTTCAGTCCCCAGGCCGACGCTCTATCCATTGAACCAAACCGGTTTCGGATCATATCGTGCATTTTAATAGCTCTGAAATCAGAGGCAGTGACTAAAACCTTGGCTCTAGTGAAACCCAGACCTCCCAGAGAGCATTTATGTTTGCTTTTCCCAGGCAGTACTGTGTGGATGGCAGCCTCTAAAATGAGCCTCAATGACCCCTGCCTCTTGGTATTCATGTCCTATATGTCTCCTTCCCTTGAAACATTGATGAGAGGAGCATCCATTGGCTGCCTCCTGCACCTCCCCACTTACTAGGGATCGAGCCCGCAATCCCAGGGGGTGGGCGGGATGAAAGGTGTGTGTGTGTGCCCTGACCAGGAGTCCAACCTGCGACCTCTTGGTTCCAGGGTTGATGCTCAATCACTGAGCCATACTGGCTGGGCAAGAATTATTATTTTTTTAAGAGTCTAATTTATCCATCCTTTTCTTTTTTGGCTTTTGGGTGATGTGTCCTGCTTAAGATAGTCATTTGAAGAAAACCCTTAGTTTAAGAGCTAATTAAAAAGGAAAAGTGGCGGGGACTCTTTCCCTCTCCCCACGTGGGAGTCTATGCTGTGAGATTCTTTCCCTCTCCCCACGCAGGAATCTGTACTTGTTCTTCAACAAATTTCCACTTTTGCAATATATATATATATATATTTAAAAAAAAAAAAAAAAGGAAAAGTGGCAAGCTTCACCCCACTTCTGCAAGAGAAACAACAATGAACAGTGAGAAAGACTTGCCCAATTTTTCTCTGGATCCATAGCTTAGGAGAGGGGGAGCCTACAGCTTCACTGCTCACTGAGTGTCTTTATTTGAATTTCTGGCAAACACATCAAATTCAACAGAACTAAAACCCAGACAACCTTTTCCCTCAAATTAGGACTTTCCTATTTCTGACATCTCATGGATCCAAACTCAGAGGTCTTCTCTGTGTCCTTCTGTCATCCCTCCTGTACCTAGCCAGAAGCTGACATTCCTTACTCTTCCTGTTCTCCCTATCCCACATCCTCATCCCTGAAATCTCAATTGTCACTATAGCGTCTCCACTTCTCTGGTTGCTACTTGCCAATATCCTCATCCTGCAAGGAAGTTCTCAGGGATTCCCCCACCACCACCACCACACCATTATCGCCTTACACTGTTCATTATATATATATATATATATATATATATATATATATATATATATATATATATATATATATATATAGTGTTACTTAAAAATATGTACAAACAGCCAAGACCAGTTTGGCTCAATGGATAGAGCGTCATCTTGGAGACTGAAGGGTCCCGGGTTCGATTCCGGTCAAGGGCATGTACCTTGGTTGCGGGCATATCCCCAGTAGGGGGTGTGCAAGAGGCAGCTGATCGATGACTCTCTCATCAATGTTTCTAACTATCTCTCTCCCTTCCTCTCTGTACAAAATCAATAAAAATATATTTTAAAAAAATATGTACAAACATAAAACTGGACATTAACTTATTATCCTTAGAGCCCCATCTGACTCTCAAACCAAAACAAACTTACAAATCAAAGACAAACAAAAGCATAAAACCAATAAAATTCACGTTACCGTTTAGTGCCAGATGCTGTTCTGTTGACTGTTCTGCTAACCCTGTTGCCATGGCACCGACGGCCTTCTGCAATTCCATGTGCTTGCAGTGTTATGGGTCCTGGTGGGCAATTTTCTACTCTTCTCTTCTCTTGGTACTTCTGTGAAACCTTGGTTAACATGGTCAGTCACCAGGAAATTGCGCCTTCACTTTAACATAGACGCATCATGTATATATTAATTCCTCCTCTACACTTTTCTCCTCGGCTTGTGACAAAGGAATTTGGTTCCGTAAATATAGACACAGATATGGATAATGCATCCAAGACATCATAGGGAAATACACAGCTATAAATGGACATTCTTAGATTAAAATGTTAAATATTGATAGCAGCATTATTCACACTAGAAAAAGGGTAAGCAATCCAAGTGCCCATCAGCATGTGAGTTTGTGGTGTATACATACAAATGGAATATTATTCAGGCTTAGAAAGGAAATTCCTGCCACATGGTTAAACCTTGAAAATATAATTCTAAGTGACATAAGGACAGTACTAAGATTCCACTTATGTGAGTTACTTAGACCAGTCAAATTCACGGAGACAGAAAATAGATTGGTAGTTACCAAGGGCTGGGGTGGGGTTGGGGATGAGGAGTTGGTGTTAGTGGGTATAGAGTTAT